AAAAAAAAATAATATATATATATATATATATATATATATATATTGGATATATGGCTTTATTTTGTACAGTAGGATATGCACCAAATTTTGGAAAAGGTATTCCAGAAAAATGAATAAAAAGATTAAAGTTTGACTTAGAGAAAATATAAAAAACAAAAAACAATAATAAAAAGCGATACTTCTAGCAAAGAAAAATAGTAAACCAGCATATAAAACTAAATTCTAAAGAAAAAGATAACCTTATTTCTGTACCATTTTAATACTCTTATTTTTCTTTTGGAGTCCCTTTTTAAACCTTTTAAGAATCTTAATATTTAGCATAGGAAAACACTTTGTTACGAAGCAATTTTCGTACTGCAATACGAATACTTTAATTTTTTTTGTTTAGTTCTATTTGACATATTTTCTTCGAATTTTAATTAGGATTTATTTAAAAGATCATTGGTGGTAATTTAAAATTTGTGCGTTTCGTGCTATTTGGTACGAAACCAAATAGCATTGCTCTTAAAAAAAAATGTTTTAGTTGAGATTTTTATTTATCACTTGAGATTTTGTTTTTAACAAAAGAAAATCATAATCCAAATAGTACATCCAAGAGTGTGATCAAGCTGGAACTCAAGGGAACTATCAATAGTCCTATATGCGAATTCAATTTGCAAGTTGAAAGACAGAAATAAAATTATACTTTTATTCTTTATTTTATTTCTTAGATTTATTTAAATTTTTTATTTTTAAAAATATTTATTATGATCCTTTATCTTTTAAATTTAGATCACTTTAATCTTTTTGAAATAATTGTTTTTAATTTTGAAACATAATTTTAGATTTTTTTTTACTCATTTAAGACTTGAAATTCATTTCATTAGATTTACTTGTATGAAAACTGTTGAACGCAACTAAAATTTAAATTAAAAAAATATATTACAAACATGGTGAAAAGTGTATAAAAATAAGTCCAAAAGACAATTAAAAATTTAAAAATGATAATTCTTATGGATTCAAACGTCAATTGAATTTTATAATTATTATATAATTGAATTTATTGTTACAAGTTTCACGATGGAGGACCATCCTTGAAGTTGCATGTGGATCCTATCACTAAGTCCATGGTCAGGAGAGTAGACGAAGATGGAGGAGAGGCCACGTCAACTAGAGTCATGATTATATGACCATTGATTTTTAGTAGATTAGGATTTATTACTTCATTTTATCTTATGTATTATTTTTAGTCTTTGTATTATGAGGCACTTAGACTTGGATTTATTTTTAGGACTTAAATCTTGATTTGTGAGGTCAAAGTCCACTTCTTTTCTTATTTTAGGTTAAAGGGTACTTTAGTCTTTTAGGGGGAAAGGAGTCACATTTGCATCTAGGGTTCATTTAGGATGCATTTGAGTACATTTAGCTTGCATTACTTGGCCATGCACTCCTAATGCAACCCTAGCTCATTTCCCTCCCTCTATAAGTATCCTAGCCCTCCCGCCTTGTGATTACTTTGGAAATATATGATATTGATGAACCTGTACCTCAACATCCCTTCCTTAGTCCCTATGTTATTTTCAGCCTACCTTACTCTTATCTCCTCCTTGAGTGAGTAAACCCTTGAGTGACTTTCATTTATCCATGGAGTGAGCCAATTTAGAGCTTCCTTTCAAACACATCTTTCCTTCATTTGGATGTCCATTTCGTCTTGGAGGCTAGGAGTTCTTGATGAGACCATGATCCTTGGAGTAAGGAAGCATCACCATTGACCCTCCCGTTCGTCAATTGTTAGGTGGTTCTGTCATTTCACGTCTCAAATTAGTTAAGAATTAATTCAAAATTGTCATAAAATAAAAAATTATTGTTGTTTTAGAAGGACTAAATTAATCCAAAAATAAAAGATAAAGGACAAAAATATAATTTAACCTAAAATCTAATTGAATATAAATTTAAAAGAGCTTTTTTAAAAAAAAAATCTATTAAAAAATACACTATTTTTCATTAAAAAAAATATTCTCAAAATACTTTTAACTTAATGCCTAGATGCTTAGGGAATGAAAATGTTGTTTGATATTGCAGTCTCTTGTTTTCCTATTTACTTAATACATTAATTCTAGGAAAATGTTGAATATATAGCTAAAATTTTATTATTTTTATCTCATTTTGTTCTCCTTTTTCTCATTGTATTACTTATTTTTTTCTTTATTTTTATCCCATACACCTTATAAGGGTGTACATACAAAATCTATTAGTAAAGAGTTAAAATAGTACATTTTGATGATAAAAAGAAATATATACTTTAATTATGATTCATAATTGTAGTTGCCTTGGTGGAAATGGTACAACTATTGTCCCGTGAAAGTTGAAACAGTGATGCATTCATGCAAGTTGTGTTTGGTTGGTTGAAGTTGAGACCGAGACTTGATTGATTTGTCTCTCTCAATTGAACATGCGAGCAAGTGGGGAAATTTAAATAATGTGGCTTCCATTCATGACAATGACCCACTACCCTCTCTGCCAAATAAAACTCACTATTATTATGAATATTTTACATTCTTTATATTTTAGTTTTTAGCTACTCATCACTTCTATTTTCTTTTGTTAGTTGCCATACCAAAACCATGGACTGTGCTTAAAAAAATATATGTTGTTAATGGAG